CAGGTGTTGAAACTTCCGGATGCAATCCAGTACGAATATTATATTGCTGATACATGGTTGTATGGAAACGCCAGAGGTGGTCTTATCCGCGGTGGATCAACTTCAACTATTACCGGTTTCCATTATCTGCGTAACAACACCGGCAAGGTTATCATCGATCCAACTACTGGTATTCCCGTTGTTGAACAGACATTCACAGTAATCGGAAACAGGCAGCCTGACTTTACTTTGGGAACATTGAATACGATGCGTTACAAAAACTGGAGCCTGAGCTTCCTGCTTGATCTTAAGGTCGGTGGTGATATCTTCAATGCAACTGAAATGTATCTCACTATCCAGGGCAAGAGCAAGAGAACACTTGATCGCGAAACTCCACGTGTAGTGTCTGGTGTATTAAGAGATGGCAAGGAAAATTCCAGCACACCGACTACCAACACGATTGCCGTTAATCCTTATTTCGCACAGGCTTACTATACGACAATGCCGGAAGAAGAATTTGTACAGAAAGATGTCAACTTCCTGCGTTTAAGAGACCTGACATTGGCTTACCAGGTGCCTTCACAAAAATTAAACAAAACGAAATTCTTCAAAACACTTAGTTTCTTCGTAACAGGTAATGATCTATTCCTTTTAACTAATTACAGGGGAGCAGATCCCGCCGTTAACGGTAACACAGCAGCTTCAAACGGAGTTGGTGGTTTTGGTTTTGATTATGGAAGCTTACCAGCTCCTATATCAGTTAACGTCGGTCTGCGTGCAGGATTCTAAAAAAATTAAAAAAGAATTTATGAAAAAGAATTTCAACCTTTTACTTATAGCGCTCAGCGGCTGCTTTGTATGGAGCTCCTGTGCGAAAAAGCTGGATGAAGCGTATGCAAATCCAAATGCGAACGTAAGACAACCAGTAGAGAATATTTTACCCAGTATGTTTGGTAGCCTTGTTGGTAGTTCTTCTGCTGCAGGAAGCGCCTATGGTCTTGCCGGTGACGGATTACTGGTCGGCCGTTACATTCAATACTGGGGTACCTACACCGTGACCGCGGTAGGTGGAAACCTTGGCACACAGTATGACCGTATGGGTGGCACTGTGGGTTCAAGCGATAACCTTGGCTCGGTATGGGCCGCGCACTATTATGGTATGGGCCAGAATCTCAATCGTATTATTGATTGGGGTTCTGAAGAATCAAAATGGGATTTTGTTGGTGCTGCCTGGGCATTACGTGCCTGGAGCATGTTTGAAGCGACAAATGAATATGGCGAGATCATTCTTCGCCAGGCATTCAACTCAAGTTTGCAAACGTTCTTATATGATGAGCAGTCTGAAGTGTACGACTCAGTTCGCGCTACTTGTCGTCGTGCAATCAGTTTCCTTGAAAGAACGGATGGCAATGTAAACCCGACAAGTTTCGCAGCAAGTGATTTTTATTTTAATGGTGGAAGTATAG